GCACGGGTTTTATTCTACTTTTCATGAAAATATTTTTCTCATTTTAGTAATTTAAAGTGTTTCGTGCAAAAAGTCAAAATAATGAAAAAAATAAATTAAAAATTAATGGGAGAAATATCTGGGAAAATAACTTTGGAATTTCATCAAATCATGCATTTATTTAATTGAAAATGTTTTTAATTGATAATTCTTAATGAATCGTTCATAAAAATTCTATAAACGATTTATTTGACACTTCTCTTCGTTAATTACATCTCTCACTAATAACCTCCTCATTTGTATAAACAGTATTAGTTTAAATGGGAAAAATAATAATAATACTAGTAATTGATTCAACCCCTCAAAAGTAGACATTTCATTGAATAGAAAATTGAATTCCTCCAGTCGCAGTGACAAAAGCCTTGAGTTAAAAATAATAACTTGACGATTACCTTCGTACATATCTTTATTTTGAATTTTTCAAAGCATTTAAGCAATAATTTCATTGAAAATTCATAAATTTATATCTTGATTCCAACCGAAATGTTGGATGGAAATAAATTCTCCATGAAAATCGAACGCAGATAAAGGATTATTACATGTTAACAATTTCTTTCTCTTCTTTATTTGGATCAAGGGAACATTTGTTTACATTCATAAAGCAAATTTTAAAAAAATTTCGATCAAAAGTGTAAATTTAAATGAAAAAAAAACTTATTTAATCGAGTAAAAAATTAAATTAATTTATTTACAGTGCAAAAATCCTTTTAAAAATAATAACTTCATGATTAACGATTTCTTTCTTCCGCCATGCATTTATCCACCGACGCAGTAGCGCTCGTTATCTCCTGGGTATTGTCCCATTGTTCCGGAAAAGCGTATTGCGATAAAACGTCTCCTCTCCTTTGCTCCGCTCTCCCTCAAGTAAACGGTTAGCAGTTGCAAGGTGGAGGCTAGGCACGCGTCTGCGCCACTGTGGATCATAACGAATTGACTCACTCACACCACCAGCGAAATGCAGCGAAATGGAGAAATAAAAAATTCACCAAAGCGCATACGGGGTGGCGAACGGGAGGAGGGAGATTGAGAGTTTAGCTGTAGAGTGTAACGCACGTGTGCGATGTAAGACTCGAGTGCGAATAGCCGGGACCCCCCCCCCCCCCCCCCCCCCCCCCCCCCCCCCCCCCCCCC